AGAATAAATCAGTCATCTGCCGAATACATGGAAGCTTTCTTGATACGACAATATTTTTCATGTCTTTTTGCTCAAAAGGATGTTTGAAAAAAAGAAATTGTATCTAGGGTTTTAATAAGCTAACTTTAGCATGATGTTATCCGGAAAAAATCACTATGAATCTGAAACGGAAATAAAGGAGCTGCAAAACGTAATTGATTACACAGTCAAATTTAAATATCTTGAAATAAGTTTGCCCCTGTGGCCATACATTAAATTTGAACATTTGTATAGCGAACTCCGAAAATGCCACGATTGAATTTTTCCCAGGCTAACTGACATCACTATTATGAGCTATTACACTGTGAAAATAGAGTCATATTACAGGTGTCTTTTTATTTGTCTCCTATTATTGTTTTATACTATAATGTTATTTCATACCTCAGACAAGTTGAAAGAGGAAAAAAACCTTTTTTGTTACTTATGCATTTTAATCTGTGAACACTGGTGAGGAAGTCTTGATTTGAATGTTGTTTTGGAAGAAAGGTTTCATTGATTATTGCAAGGTGATTGCTGTTTAGACCAAATATTTCTTTTTGCAATCGCAGATAATCTACAAAAAATAGGAAACGAAAACAGAAAAATGGCGAAAACACATTTCAGTAGAGGTGAAACACATTTAAAATATTTCAAGAACTATTGTTCTCTCCCTCTTTAGTTGATGGACTTCGACAAAAATCAGTCTTCCTCAACAGTCAACATTCTCCTGGCCATTACAACATTTTTTGGGAATTCTCTCATCATTGTTGCTCTTCGCAAAGAATCTTTAATTCCCTGCATCCGCCGTCCAAACTCTTGTATCGTTGTCTGGCAACAACTGATCTGTTATGGCGGTTTACGAACACTGGAGTCTTTGTCAATACGAAAATAGCGCGGCCTCTATCATCTGCAAGGCAGCTCCAGAAAATCCACGGTAATGATTATGTCATAAGACGAGGAGGAAGAAGTGCATTATTAAACCCCAACATTCACAGGGTCTAGCTAAAATGCCCCTTGGGCAAAAAAATCTATGATCTCACAGGAAAATGATAAAGGATTGTGGTGACAATGGAGGGTCAGAAATATTCACCAAAAATAGGTTTTGGGCTAAATATGTTAGAATTGGAATCTCTCTATCTTAAAAAAACTGACCTAAGTCCCTGTATTATACCTACCATTGATTCTTTACATGCTTTTTTTAAGAATTATTTTCCAAAGGAAGATATAGGACCATTTCCAGCACTCTATGGTAAATATTTTAGGAATTGCATCTTACCATTTGCAGGCATTTATTTCTTTTCTGAAAAATTTATTTGCTTGTGTATGTTGAATGCCTTAACATGGAGTGAAGACTTTTCCAGCCATAGGCTCTCGGAGGATGAAAGTTTTAAAGCTCTTATTTTCAAGTAGTACGGATCTTTTTGGAAGAATTACAGTTTACAAGCTTGACGTGTTAGGCTGCTGGACATACCTATATTCCTGCCTATCATGAATAATAACATTCTAGTTTTAAGACTGATGAACGTCTTCTTTGATCTATTACTGAACAGACCAAAGGTAACATGGAATCAATTTTTTTATATTATAAATTGAAAAATGTTATAGGCGACGTAGCTTACGTGTCTGTCCTACATTAAGATCATAGGTAAGAACCAATCAAAATTCGTATATAATTTATCCCATCATTTAACAAATAGATAAACCTTGGCTGTACTCTGTTTTGTTATAAAGCACGCAGGAAGCGGCTAGGACACGAAAGATATGTACGTTTAGTGTTTCTCCCCTCTTCTTGAGTGCTCTAATCGCTTCCTAAGTGCTTCGCAACAGAACAGAGTACAGTTAAGGCTTCTATATTGCCAAGCTTGTTGGGATACAAATGCAAAAGTCCTATCGGCTGCTGCTAACGAAGATCCGCGATGATTGGAGAAAGGATATGGGCTCAGAGAAGTCATGAAGGCAGCTGATGAAATCGTGCGTCAAGCTCTCTGAACCACCCCACGCCTAATCCGCAGTTCACATATATGAATCAATGTTGTACAAATTATCGCAGGCCATCCGGAATAAAGATGACAGTGAGACAGAACTGTGTGGGACATCTGTGACTTTATTTTATATTAGTCCTACTAAAAAATCATTTGGAAAACTGTTCTTGATAAGAATGAATTAAGACCTTAGTTTTAAAAGACCTCTTTAATAACTATTGATGGTCATTTTAATTACAAAAACTCACCTAACATCAAATAACAATATAAACATCTCCACTCATTCTTTCGATTGATTAAAGATGTGACCAGAACTTCCATTCCCTGTCTGATGTTCATGTGGAGACAAAGTATTACAAAATTATCTCACAGAGGGATCTTATTTAGTTTCTTTTTTTTTTCCCTCCGGAAAGTTAATTCAATGAGCATTCCATAAAATCTGCAGAGACGTCACAAGTCTGCTGTACAATCATCAATACTGCACGAGTATAACTCGAGCAGGATCTAATTTCACAACTGGAACTTTTTTCCTATGCGATATGTGTTGTTGTATTCAAGATTAGAGCTGTCGCTTGGAAGATATTCTTAATATGTAGTCGTTTTTATTGTTTCAATTCGCTCTCACTCGTATGGAAATAAAGAATATGAACAACAGCTTGATTAAACTGTGCTTCTTATTTCATCCTTCCAATAAAATAGCTAACGAGTTTTTCTTAATAATAACCGCGAACTTTAAAAGTCAGCTTTGGAAGTAATACGACGATTACAACGCATGAGGCATCTAACACCGTGGACAGCAAAGTGCTTGTTTTATTATCTGCTTTACTGCTTGTCTTACTTAAAGTAAAGAAACTGGTTTAAAGTCGATATAAGGTAAACTGAGACAACTGCTATTTCCCGTATGACCCCTAGGTAAGATGGATGTGTTTTACTCTGGCTTATTACAGTAGTAACTATATTATGTGGAAAATAACAAAGAAGTCTTGTGCGGAGCAACAAGGATCAGAGAATTGCCAAGAAATGTTGTGTGGGAAAAGAAAATGTGCACCACTAGGAAAGAAATGAACCGATGATGCAACTCATCTACCAAAGAGGGGGATAAAGTAAATTCTCCAAAACTGGCGTTCATCTGTGTTCCTCCTCCTTTTGGATTAGTTGTCGACGTAATTTTGCAGCTCAATAAAAGGTCGTTTCTTTTTCCCCTCAAGATGCCAGAAATTGTAACGAGAAATATTTCGTCTCCACAGCACTTGCCCGGCCACGATTACTTAGACCCTTCTTATTTATACTATATCTTAAAAGAAGACTTCCTTAATAGCGATTATTTTCTTAAAATATGTGGAAAAAACCTGCGGATCTGTTGCGTGTGATGACTGAATAAGAAGTATTTTACCACCCTTGTTATTTTTCTCTGTTTTTGTGCATCATTGCCTTAGATATAAATTGGCAATAACAGACAGGCATGGAGACATCTGCAAGATATTTAGTTCAAAGCGCTGTGAAACAAAACATCTAACTTTAGAAAACTGAAAATAAAAGATCAAGTCAAGACGTAAATCATTTCAGTAGAAGATTGAAAACAAGACAACTACAACCTCTTAATACATAAAAAAAGGAAATTTGAAAAGAATTGCAAAGTTATAAAAATACCCCTTCCCTGATGGAAAAATTATTTGTATCGTTTATGGAGCTAAAAAAATTTAAAAAATTGGAATTTTGGAGAAACATATTAGATTACATAGACGGAATTTTCATTTATAGCATGTCGACTGACTAAACTTTACTGAGGAAGTTTGTTTGCTGATTTTAGTTTATTAAGAAAGATAGACTTACGTGATAGTGGCCTGGCAGGTGCCGTCAAGACATGAATAATCTTCGTTACATACAGATACAAATAACCATCAGGAAAAACGAAAAAACTGTTAATTAAGTTGTAATAACTGAAATATTTTTTTCTCGTTGCCAAGAAATGCGATTGTGCTGGTTAAGGTTTCATTTAAAATCGGTAATTATCATTTTTTCTCGTTTGATGCTCCATTGATTGCTTGAAATCGATTTTTGCAAAGCAAGCAAAAACAATGTGAAAATATGAGCAAAGAAGCAGACATGTATATATTACCTCCTGTGTGTATTATTATTATGAGTGAAATCTTAATGGAAAAATCTAAAATTAAAAGTTTCTAACCAGAACAAAATTTGTAGTGCTTGACATTGTTAAGTTGTAGAACTACCGGTACTGTTCTAAATGAAAGGAAAATTCCGAGACAAAACTGAGGATTTTGCGTAAAAAAGAAAACTTGGCGGAACCTTTTAATGGTAAATTAGAAAAGTTAAAATATCATGGAATTTCCAGTTTCCAAATAATCGTTCCCTTTTTTGTTTCGTAATAAGAAACGAGGTATTAGCTCCATTAAGAAAACACTTTGACATCTTTTAGCACACGACTTACAGATTGTTCAAACATCTTTAACAGGAAAAATGCTGTCGGAGGTTTTAAGTCAATTCTGTAAAGAAAGTGCGTTTTAATATTGATGGCTCAGCAGGTGCTGATAAGATGGAATACAAACTGCTGAAACTGAAGACGCAAAAAAGAGACGACCGTTCATTAGGCTACTTTGAAAAATGAACGGAACAAAAAATTTGGCACGGGACGGAAAGCTGCGGATATTTGATGAGCAGGCATGTTTCCCTTCTTTGGTCGGTGGATTACAACAACAATCAGTTTATTTGTCAACAGCCAACATTCTCCTTTCCCTCACAGCATTTCTTGGAAATTCTGTCATCCTTGTTGCCCTCCATAAGGAATCTTCCCTTCATCCGCCGTCCAAACTTTTGTATCGTTGTCTGGCAACAACTGATCTGTTGGTTGGCCTTGTATGCCAGCCTCTCCATGCTGCTTATTGGATGTCTGTCTCTTACGAGCACTGGAGCCTTTGTAGATTTGCATATGACACATTCTCCGTATCAGCCTATGCATTATGTTCAGTGTCGTTGTTAACGATGACGGCCATAAGCGTGGACAGACTTCTCGCCTTGTTGTTAGGGCTAAGGTACAGAGAACTCGTAACTTTGAAACGTACTTATATCATTGTAGCTACCTTTTGGGTGTTATCTGGTTTCACTGCGTTAAGCTACCTTTTAGATCCCCGTATAGCCACGTGGTATACCTCTTTAGCTAGACCATGTTGCATATTTATCGCACTGGCTTTGTACATAAAGATTTCCCGCTCGCTCAGTCGTCATCAGGCTCATGTACAAGATCACGTCCAACAGCAGCCGAACCAACCAAACGCATTGAATATGGCGCAGTACAGGAGGGCAGTGTACAGTGCCTTGTGGGTGCAGTTAGCATTAGTTGTTTGTTATGTGCCATTTAGTATAGTGGAAACTGTGATCGCTTTTAGCAAAACATATTCATCACACTTAGTCATCAACTGGGGAATAGCACTTTCCTTAGTCTATTGTAACTCAACTTTAAACCCGTTTATTTACTACTGGAGGATTAGGGAAGTAAGGCGAGCGGTGAAACATACAGTCAGACAAGCACTTCACTTGCATGGTCAAGAAGCAATAGAGACGTGAGTTTGACTTTACTTTCCTGTCTAATTTTCTTTCTTTTCAAAATCTCTCGTTTTTCCAAAATTTAACGTAACTTTTTAATTCTTTTATGTGTCTTGGTTAATTACTTACTTCTCAACTTTTTGTGGGCTAAAACAGAAACTGTGATGCTGCGTCAGTGGAGGGTATTACAAGATAATTTAGTTTTAACCACTAATATGATAATGTAAATAGGCCACCGTAAAGAGCTTTTATAGCTCACCTTTCAAGTATTAGCCTTTCGTCAGAGCGAATCAAATTCTCTTAACTTTGAAAGGGTACATTTAACAATGGATTCGTGCGTTCATTAGGATCTGAAGCACGCGGGAAGTTTTGAGAGCTTGAAAGATAAGTAAGAGTCGCTAAAGACCTAGCCGAGAGCAACAAGAAGTTCCTAAATAATAAATTTTGTTTGTGAGGGTAAACGGAATAAATTTTTCATCGGGTGTTAATAGTTTTCAATCATTAGCATCCCTTCATTTCCATCTCAATCAATAAATGATCATCTTCACCTCAGTATTGGAATATAACTGTCGCTCAAGTGAAACGCAGCAAGAATAAATCAGTCACCTGTCGAATACATGGAAGCTTCCGTGATACGACAATATTTTTCATGTCTTTTTGCTCAAAAGATGTTTGAAAGAAGACATTGTGTATAGAGTTTACTAGGCTACCTTTAGCTTGTTATCCGGAAAAATCACCATGAATCTGAAACGGAAATAAAGGAGCTGCAAAACGTAATTGATTACACAGTCAAATTTAAATATCTTAAAATAAGTTTGCCCCCGAAGCCATACATCAATTTTGAATATTTGTACAGAAAACTCGGAAAATGTCACCAGGCTTACTGAAATCACCGGTATGAGCTATTACACTGTAAAAAAGAGTCATATTAAAGGTGTCTTCCTATTTGCCTCTTATTTTTGTCTCGTACCTTACTGTTATTTCATACCTCAGACAGGTTAAAGGAAGAAAAAACCTTTTTTGTTACTTATGCATTTTAATCTGTGAATGCTGGTGAATGAGGAAGTCTTGATTTGAATGTTGTTTAGGAAGAAAGGTTTCACTGATAATGATTGTAGGCTTATATTCGTTTCTTCACCGCAGTGCGCATATATGATTTTCATATATCTACAATCATCTATAATCGTTATTCATCACTTGGATGGTTTATTTGGACCCAACATAATGACCAGCTCCCAGTTGGCTTGTTAGCTGAGTTGGTAGAGCGCCGGTATCGCAGAGGTCATGTGTTCACAATCCCGCACGTACCTGAATTTTTTTCAGGTCTTATTTCAACTACTAGTTCAATAGTGTTCATAGCTGCGAGGATCTCTTATATTCGTTTCTTCACCGGAGTGCACATTATATGATTTTCATATATCTAAATTCATTATTCTTGCAATCAAGTTAAAGTTCATGGTAAAACCTCACTCCATGCAGAACATTTAAATGTAATGTAGAAAAAAAGGCGAATACAAAGAGGGTAAAATTGCACCTTCATTTTACCCTTCAAAACTCTCCTCACATGAAATAAATAATAGCAGCACAAGAGAATTTAGGAGCAATCATTTTCTTGTAAACGCAATTTGTGGTTAGCTAATAAGTTATTTAGATACCAAGTTATGGGTCGCGCAAAAAAAAAAGGTTGCTGATGAAATTAAGAGTGGTGGAGATATTTACAGAAAAGACTGGTTGTGTGCTGAAGTTGCCTTGGTAACAAAATTAGTGTATGTGGAAATTTGGAAGGAGAGACATGCATCTCTTGCCATCTCCACTCCCTTAATCTTTTCATCATATTTTCCAGGTTTGGTCTACTCATGGGTGGTATTTAGATTTTCAATAATTGTTGTTTCACAGGGTTCACCTCAGTTTTTTATCCTGGAATTTCTATAAGAAGTTTGTATAAAATAAATCCAGAGTCAGGGCAATCCAGTATATCATTAAACCCAACATCCACAGGCGCTGAAATGCCCCCAGCGCAAAAACCTCCAAGATCTCATAGAAAAATGACAAAGGATTGGGTGAAAATGGAAGGTCGGTAGTGTTCACCAAAAATAGGTTCCCGGCCAAAAATGTTAGGATTGGAATCTCTCTATCTTAAAAAACTGACATAAGTCCCTGTATCCTGCTCTTGATTGGTTGCATGCTTTTTAAGAGGCCCTGCGCCCAAGAAAAGACCGATGATTTCAGGCTAAAAATTAAAATCGGCCGATTTTTATCGAAGAAGAGGGATTTATCGCGGGATTTATGAAGGCTAAGTTGCTGTTGCAAACACTCAGTAGAAAGAGGTTGGGCAGGGATGACTCATTAGAGGAAGATGACAAAAAGTAATGGAAGTGCTGGCCAGACGATCTCTCAAAGCTGCAAGAAATGCAAGTAGACCGCTGTTTCAAGCCAAAGGGATTTGGCGAAGTTAAAGAAGTACAACTACACCTCTTAGACGTTTCTTGTCAATGATATGCAACCGTCATTTATAATTACCTACGTTCAAAAGATGTGACCAACCAAGTTCACTGTGCGTTTGTCAAGGGTAAAGCAAGCTTAGATCCCATACGTGAAGTTTAAATTCCAAGATTGGAACTGACAGCTAGTGTTATCTCCTGAGAGCTCTCCAGGATTATTCGAGAAGAATAAGTGCACAGTAGACCATGTGCACTACTAGACTGACACAGCTTCCGTGTTGAAGTGCATCAACTTTATTAACTCGCGGCTAAGCCAAGCGGAGACACTGGTCTTAGTAGGGACTATGATACGCAAATGTTAATTCACTTACTCACCAAGTCACTCAGTGTAGACACTGCCGTAAATATGTTACTCTGATCTAGTTTTCGGTTTGTTCATCTCGTCACGTGATGTAAAATAAACAGTTTGCCCTTAGGTTAAATCATATTCTCACTGATTTCAGTCTTTCAACCTTTTTGAGAGTGAATATCAAAAGCGAAAATTATTTATGTACATCCTCTATGTTAAAGCAGTCTAAAGATTAGTGACAAGTTTTTATAATCTTTAAAGCGACCTTGAAGATTATCTGCAAATGGGCTAAAAGGAATGACAATAGAACTAATTGTACTCTTAAGAAGTTGCATTTGGAATATAAAATCAATTTTTAAGAAAGTTTATGTAAGTTATAAACAAATAAATAGCAAATGAATATAACATAACAAACCTTTCTTTTTAATTTCTAACAGTTTTGGTTTTAAAATTCAGTTTTTCCCCTTTTTCACATTTTACTCATGAAAGTGTTAGACAGTTGTACCTGACTTAAACTACACTCATATTTGAAATTCATTTGATCCCGAAATGGGAAATGGGAAAAGAGAGCCCCTTCTTAATCGATAATGAAGTTCATTTATTCTGAGAGAAAAAGCTTGGTTACATCATGTACGGGATGGTTGTCAGGTGATTTAAAGAGGCTACCTTTTCTCAGGGGAAACAAACTCCTGCCATGTGTTATAGCCTGGCTCGCTGATTTATTTTCGAGGCATTTTTCGCTTTGATTAAAAAAAGAAGACAGTAAAAAAAAATGCTAATTCAACCCTGGGAAATCCATGAGAATCAAAAGGAATCAGAAAGGAACAGTCTACAGTATAAGTTCTAGTTTCCCCATTCTTAGTTTTTCGATTTTTTTGTACCGGCTGTCAAAACATATTTGTAATCAAGACCCTATTTTATTTCTTATTAATGAATAATAGAAGAATAATTAATGAGAAATCTGTTCTAGTTTTCTTGAGAACTATTCGACAGTTTAAATAATAATAGCCTAATAAGAAGGATAAACCTTTCACTACAGTGTACTGGGAACTTTCCTAACATTCCGAAATATGGCAACATTTGCAAAGATTGTTCATTTACAAGCAATGAGCGCATTTATTAGACGAATGTCCCTGAAAACGAATATTTTAATAGCAGATGAGGATCATTGATAAGATGTGAGACCACAAAGGTTTTACATGGTCTCTTTGTAACGATCCATTTCACTTCGGTGGCGAATTTTGCACAAAGTTGCACTGCTTAATAGTCAAAGAGCAAAGATTACCCAAGAAAACAGGACTGATTCATTACAGGCTTTTCCATCAATTAAAACGTTAATCATGCAAAATTGCCTTAATTAACAATATACTATTTCTATTTACTGGGTATATGACAGAACAATGGATATCCTTCTACATGCACTTATCAAGTTGTCGACTTGGTGGTTGATGCTTTCGAAAGTTAAACAACAGAAAAAACTTGAATGGAAAACAGTCATGACTTTTCCCTATATTTCAAAACCTCCGCCTGTTGACTAACCTTAACCACGAATGTTTTGTTATTTAGGTGAGAATACAAACTTTCATAATATCCTGAAGGAATATTCAATAAGGTTTTAAAACCATCCCTTGATCGGAGGCAGTTTCTTTTTCAACACCTTAAAACATTTGTAAACCTTTAGTTGAAATTCTAATAGTAATCTCTCCCTTTGCCTCCTGACTCCCGCCCTTCATTATGTTGCTCAAGTCTTCAGGTTAATCAAGAGGATCAGAAACTTGGGTTTAACTTTCAAACTGTGCCAAAACTTAACATTGTTGTTCATTTTCTTGCCCTTTTTTTGGCAGGGGGATCATTGGGTCCCAATGAAAGTTATTACAGGTCAGTTTTCTTAATTAAACTAAGTTTCACTAACCTGGTTATCACAGTTTGACCATCGCCAACCGTGGAGTTATTTTCACAAGTTTATCCCGTCATTCAGAAAACATCAGCATGCACAGTATTGTTATTTCAACTATGATCACTGAAAAATAGAAAAAGCATAAAAAAGAAAACTGATCGAAACTGTTGGTATGCGTGGGCCCCCCTACAATTTGTCTTTTTTGAGAATGGAAAAGCAACGACTCAGAATTTCTGCAGCATTGAACCTTGCAACACATAAAATTTTTCTTTAACTCAGGATGTCATTGCCTGCAGAATTTCTGCTGCTGTGGACGTCATACTGTGCAGAATTT